ACTACGCACCCTGTGCATGGAAGCCTGTTCAATGCATCTTACTTCAACCACACCATCATCAAGAAAGATTACGCTGGTATAATTATTGTATTGGTTGTGGTCACTAACAGTGATCCAGAGTGATGTTTTAGGATGAATTTAGTATCACTAGAACAAGTTATTCTGACCACCAGTTAGTGTGGAAAGAGAGGGGAACATGATATTCAGAACAGTATGTTCATGAAAGTGATCAGTGGGGACCATGCGTGAGCACAAATGAGGTATCGGACAGGCTAGAAAACGAAGGTATTGTCCGTTTGCATACTCCCTGGACCTGAATCCTATAGATCCTTTCTGGAATACCCTCTGCAGGCGTGTTTCACAAAAAACACGCCCTCCCAGAATTGTGTAAGAGCTGATAGCCGTTTTGGAAGAACGGGGTGCGTAGCGTTTTTAAAAAGTGCCTATTTTTGATTTACGTTTTCTAAAAGCCATTAAAGGTACTTTTTTTTTTTAATTCGTGATATGTAAAAAGAGCCTAATTTTCTATCTTTTAAAAATAATTTTTTTTCTTTGCTGTATCAATTGATCCAAATTACAGAAAAGCACTTGATTTTCAAAACTTTCCCTGCAATATGTATCAGAAACTAGTTGTTTTACCATGATTATGTAAAGTTTTTGAATTTTATGTTAATAAATTAACTTGAAACAATGGAAAAAAGGCACTTTTTATTACTAAGCAGATCCTAAGTATGATTTTTTTTTTTTGGAAAGTGATTAAATTTTTTTAGGTGCTTAAAAAGTACTTAAAAGGTTATTTATTTTTGAAAAATCTGGCTCTGCACCCTGGAGAGGTGTTTGAAAATATCTCTCAAGGACATCCAAGTAGTTAGTGGAGAGCATAAATAACAGTGCAAAACATGCATTAGTGTCCAAAAAATCTCACATCCTACTTTGATAATCATACCTGTTTCATTCTGGCAAGAAGACCCATTTTTCATGGCTGTTTGGAAATTGTCTAAAGAGCATGTTTCTTAAATTTAATTTTCCAATGCAATATTTGCATTATAATAAATGCGCATTGTCCCCAATAAATATGTACTTAGTATCATTTCTTCAATTAATTTCTATTATTAATTATTCCGAAAAATGTAGCCTAAAATGTAGTGTTCCTTAGCAATTGTCAAGCAGTGTAGTTAACTTTCTTCAAATGGAATTTAAATAAACAGTATTTTAAAAATATTTCAGTTAAACCTTTCATGCTACACTGACATCAAAAGTCACCTCTCTAAACCTTAAAATTTTTATACATTAAAAATTAGTCACGTCATTATTTAATGAATTTTAGGAACTTTATAAAAATATTGTATTATGTAATTTAAATGATTTAGTGTTTACATTAGTTCAAACAGCATATTAAAGTACTTGGAGTGCAAAAGGTTAATATTAAGCCAAGATGAAATATCCTAAAGCTGACACCCCTTGTGGCAAGCAATAAAATAAAATTGATGTAGTGTTAAATATTTTTAGTTTTATATAGATTTCTTCTACGACTTCTATAATCTAGATGATATTATAATCAGCCTGTCATAATATCACTCAAATTAGTACTTTTTTCAGAATCTATTAGCATTGGAGGTTTTTTTTATGTCATCGGGAAATGTTAGTGAATAAAAGTAATTTAGTTTATGTTTTTTCTCATGCTACTGAAATACCTGGTGCTTCAGGCTCTAAAATGAGTCATAAATGATTTATAAAAAAAGTTTGTAACTTAATATACGTCATATTTTGCTTATTTTATTATGATGGATTAATTAGGAGTTGGTGATATTAAAAAAAGGAGTGTGCTTAATATTTTTTATTAGCGATGCAATAAAAAATAATTACCGAATGTACAGATACAAGTAAATGTATATATAGCCTGTAAATAAAAATAACTGAGCAATGTGGTCAGCTTACCCATGACCTTGATCTCTCGATCGATTTTCTACCCAACGCCAAGTATAGTAGTGTGATCTTTTACAAAGCTAGCTCAGTTGTGTCACCAAGACCATTATAATATGGTCAGTAAGAAATTTGAAAAGAATTATTGTTTGCTCAAATTATCTCATGTTTAAATTAAAAAGGATCTACGGTAGTTCTTTTCATTTCCCTTCATTTCATTCTGTTCATCCTATTCGCAGGTTACTATTGTGAAGAATCGGACTGTAGAAAGTATTTCAATCGATGGAGTTTATTGCGTAAACATAAAAAAGAATGCCATCTCAAAAGTAAGAAAAGTATTTAAATATTTATAATAATAGTTACATAACTTATTTTCTAATAAACTGTAAATGTTAGATATTATCAGTGTTGCTTTTCTAAAGAGAGATAATATTTCTTTTGTTATGGATTTCTGAATTTTATTGTTGTACCCAGGTAGCACAGAGATATTGTCAAGTACTTGATTAATATTGATCGACATAGTGAACACCAAAGAATTTCAAATCAATTAGGGACATCTAAATGACTCCTGTGGCAGAATTTTTTCGATCTTCCTGCAACAATTCTTTCTAATACTAATATCTTTCTGACATTTTTATAACTAAGGATAAAAGACATAAAGACATTTTAATAGTAGATATTACTAATTTCAAGTAATAGAAGCACTTCCTGTTTATAAAAAAAAGAAAGACAAATTTTTTTTTGAAAAAAAGCCTTCATGTATAGAACAGTATATAATTTTTTTAATTATAAATATAAGAATTTTTTTTTATATACATATAAAAGAATACAAATTCTGATGTTACGGACGATATTTTCCTGTTCTAAAAAATATTTGTGTAGTTAACTTATCTTAAATTTTATCGATTTGAAAATGACTTTTTATAATATCAATCAGGCATTGCAGAATTTTTTTCATTCTCAACGATAAGTAAAACGAAAATTTAAAAAATCACAAGCGTTTCTTTAAAAATAATTCTGCTGAAAAGGAAGAAAAAAAATTTCCTTTTCCAAAAAGTCTGCAGATAAAAAAACCCAACTTTTTTGCTTCCCAAATAAAAAATCTTTCTGCAAGAACTCTTTAATGTTCTGCAACAATTTTTGTGTCGCCCACAATTTTGCCATGTGGTAAATGACAATATTTTACAGCATCCCTCAATAAAATGATTTCATAAAAAGTTATCAATTAATACCTGTTAGTTATTTTTTTTCATAAGCTGATTTAGTAATAAAATTCTAGAAAAAAGGTTTAAAAAATCAAAATTTAATATCTTTTCTTACTATTTGTAAATAATGGCAGATTATTTCGCAATATTTCTGTGCCTCCTTCCATATGAGCTGAGAGCTAAATTCGTTCATAAACTAAAATTTTTAAACGTATGAAACTGTTTATGGTATGACATGAAGTGTGAGGCAATATATCATTTCTTTGTACAAAACTTCTGTTTAATTATTTTATTTCGGATTGAATGTTTTAAAAAATTAATCTTTATGTTTCATCATAAATTATCGTCTAATAATAAGAAACTATTTCTTATTTTAAGTTGCTTGTAAAAAGTTTGATTTGTGACATACTTTTATTTATTTATTTTCATATTTAAGCTAAAAGTAAGTTTCAGAAATTATAAAAAGAAACTTATCTGATCAAACATTAATGTGTGTTGAAAATGTATTCTTCATTTGTTTATTAATTTAATTTCAAAATCATCATTCATTAAACTAGAAATAGATGTTTATGGTGACACTCCCAAAAAAATGGTAATAAAAGGTGTCTCAATACTTTGCTTGGCAGGTGCAATATTCTTTGAATTTTTATCATAATTACATAGTTGTCAACTCTACTGGATTTACCAGTAGGCTCCTGGGTTTTGTCAGTTTCTCCTGGTCTATTGGCTTAATGGAAATTTTCCTAGTTTTTGTGCATTTTAGAAAATTCAACAAAATTGGGTAAGATTCCTGAAAAAAATCTATTGAGATAGAATTTTTATACAATATATTTAATATTTAAATAAGTATTATTTAAACATTATTCTTCTTCTCATTTATAGTAATCAGTTTAAAGATTTTCTTTTCCTTTTGTTCTAAAATTTCAGTTTATTTTAGTTCGAACTCCCTTTTTAAATTAATTAAAATCTTTTTACTATACCAATAATGAATTACTTGTCTCTTACTATTTAATGTTAATCAAAATAGAAAATATTGTAGACCATTTATAGTTATTAGTGTAATACAGTTTTGTATTTTGATGACAATAAAAATCCCTAAAATACCCGATTTATAAAATATTTAGTATATTATGCAACAGGTATCATCAAATATCTCAAAATAGACTGGATTTTTTTATTTATCCAGGTTGGCAGCTGTGTAAGTATTGTGGCTTTTGTTGCATGTCTTCGGCTATTCTTTGTTCAATTCCTACTATTAGTTCACACTCTCTCTATATCTTGTTCAAATTTTCAATCGTTAATAAAATGCTTTTTATTCCTATACTCAAGTTCAAATACATATTTTTATTCTTGTAGTGGATGACACTTGATGTTAATACAGTTTTTTCAAAAATATTAATTCATTCATTAAATTTAGTTCATTGATTTTAGTTTTATATGGGAGAAAGATTTTTACTTATATTTAATAAAAAGAAACTAAAATTATTTATTTTTGTTGTTGTTGACCTAAGTAGGAATTGACTTTAAATTTTTTATATTTTTATATTACTTTCTTAAAATCATTTTACTTGTTAATTATCAGGTCTTAAAACATGACATTTCAATGAATTGCGTTAAAATTTTTTTTAAAAATAAGATCAACAGTCTGCTTAACCTTTTTATCATTACTTTATATTGTAACAAAATGAAAAATGTCATTACAAAACGAGTGAGAGCTCAGTATGTAAAATTTAAGGGGGTATATTTATTTTTCATTAGCTATTATTTAGGTTTTATCTTAAGAAATTCTGCAATTATAAATTAATATTTTAAGTTTTATATTATAAAATATCACTGTGGATAGCAAATTTTTGCTTCTCGATGATAAAACTAATAATGAAATGATTCTAGTATCTGTTTTACATTTGTGGCTGTTATCGGTTAAGTTTTATCTGTAATTCAAAATATGTATGTAAAACCATGTTTGGTTAGTTGAACAAGAATTAAGATCAGGAGTTGAAACCTCCTATTAAAATAGGGGTAAACGGGGTTTAACATTTTTCATTTATTTTTGGATGAAACTAGATAGTTTAACTACCATAGTATATTAATAATATGAGTAATAATATTTAGTTCTGAATATGATTGCAGTGCAGTTACTTTTAAATTTAAAATGAAAAATAAGTATTTTGCTATCTTTAATATAAATTAGAAATTGTGTCTCATACTTAGTAAGTTGGCTACTGCTTTTTAAATTTTTATGAGAGAATTTTTGATTTTTGATCAAAAATTTTTGACAAAAAAATTTTCTTTGTTACAATTGTTTAGACAAAAAATAAGTACAGTGAAACCTCCGTTAAGCGGACATTCATGGGACCAAAAAATTTGTCCGTTTATGAGAGTNGTATTTGTAAATTAACTAAACTTTAACTTTGCATACTTATATGCAGATAAAAATATAAGTAAGCTTCTAATTTAACTCCGTGTTTAAGTGGGCACTTTAAAGTATTTGTAGCGCACAGTTTAAAACAAAAATTTGTCTAACACTTCTGCATGTTTTAAACAGAATGTGTGCATAAAATGTTTACATATTCAGCACTTGCCCCACAAAAAAATTTACCTCTACACTGTGTAGAAATCAAGAATAGACAAAGTTAAGACAAGTGACAAACAACAGTGCAAAAATGCTTGTTAAAGAATAATAATTTTTTTTTTGTGCAAATGGTTCTGCCCTTGTACAGATTTTTGCTGTTCTTTGAAATCTCAAGACACACAGAGGGGAGTGGAATCTACAATCCCTGACCAAATGATTAGACGCTCTGTAGTTTTTTAATAATTGCATGTTCCGCAACAGTTTATAGTCAATACATTTAATGGGTTTTCATTCAGGAGATTTTTTACACATTTCCTATTTGTATTTATTGTATTACATTACAATGTTTACCAATTTAAACACGAACGTAAACAAGTGCAAATCGATTTCAGTTTTGTGCGTCAGTTGTGAATGTGTTTCTGCCACTCTTATGCACTGTGTTTGTTTCTCAGTTTTATTCTATGCAGTTATTTGTTTATTTTGTGTGCAGTGTTTAAGTAATCAATTGGAACATTTTCATCATGGGTAAAAAAGGCAATCTTTCACCATGTAAAAAAACTGAAGGCTGTTGTGAATGCTGAAATATTTTCAAACCACGAAATATCACGAAAATCGAAGGTTTTGTGAAGCTAGCGTGCAATGCATGAAGAAGAAAATTGAGTCAGGGGACCAATTGAACCTGAGATGAAAGAAAAGATGTGGCAGAATCTTATAGTATGTCTAATAATTTGTCCAGTGACTGTGTGCTCTAATACTGCAGTAAATTACTGTAAGTCTGGAAATTGATGTTCTTTTCACATAATGTATTGTGCACACTGAACTGGTTATAAATATTCTTTTCACATTATGCATACCTGCCTAGTCTCCTGTTTTTCAAGGAAGACTCCTGTATTTTACGACCATCTCCTGTTTACCCGTATATTCTCAAATTTCTCTGTATTTGTTGAAGAAATTTTAGAAAGCTTTCATTTAGAATAATGGGTTGAGGAAAAAAAATTTAAACTAAGAATTAATATTAAAAAAAAAACAAACAAACTTGGTAGAGGTTTTTATGTTATAATATATACATATATATATACATATATATATATATACATATATATATATACATATATATATACATATATATATATATATACATATACAGATGGGTGACAAAATAATACAAACACCTGTGAAATATCAGAAAATGTTTATTAATAGGGAGTTCGACCACCCTTTGACTAAATTACAGATTTAATACGACGTGGGATCGATGCATAAAGGTCATGGACAACGCTTAAAGGAATATTAAGCCATTCCTCTTGCAAAGTGACCTCTAATTCCAAAAGATTTGATGGAGGTGGGAATCGGGAACGAAGTTTAGACTCCAAATATTGCCACAAATGTTCAATAATATTTAAGTCCGGAGACTTTAGGGGGCCAAGCGAGATGCTCAACTTCATTGTCATGCTCTTCGAACCATGTTTTTACGCACCTAGCGGTGTGGATAGGGACGTTGTCGTCCTGAAAAATCAGTCGCTCTCCAGGGAATACAGTCTGTACAAAAGTATGAACATGATCTGCTAGAACGCTTAGATAGTCATTAGATTTGATTCTCCCATGCAGACGTACTAGTGGCCCAAGACCACGCCAAGATATCGAACCCCAAACCATAATGGAGCCACCTCCATGTTTCACAGTTGGTAAGAGGCATTCAGGATCAAACGCTTCTTTGGGTGATCTCCAGACATAAACGCATCCGGTGGTCTCAAATAAGGTGAAGGATGATTCATCGGACCATATTACCTGCTGCCACTGCTGTGGGGACCAGCCTTTGTGACCTCTACACCACTGACGGCGCTTGAAAGCATTGGTTACTGTCATCAAGGGTTTACGAATTGCCACTCTCCCATAAATGTTCGCTGCATGAAGTTCTCTTTGAACAGTTCTTGTTGAAACGGGGTCCTGAAGATGACTGTTCATGTCTGATGTTATCTCGGATAACAATTGCTTGTGTTTTCGAGCTACTACGCGCTGCAAGACACGTCTATCCCTATCATCAAGCTTTGACTCTCGGCCACTGTTTTGCTTTGAAGACTTCGTCTTACCTTCTTTCATGTATGCTGTCATAACGGCTGATACAGTACTTCTTGTAAACCCCAAAAGGTTTGCCGTTTCTGTCACCGATGCTCCACTTAAATGCGCCCCAACAATCATCCCTCTTTGGAATTCTGACAGGTCAGACATTTCACCTTATAAAAGCTAGTTAGATATACTCATGCAACACAGGTGACTAATGTTCAGAGACTGATAGCTTCCTCTTCACGCTTACTAGGTGGCAGACTTCTGTTGCAGGTGGCGCGGCTGTACCGCAGGTGTGAAATAAGTCACCCTTTTTCACAGGTGTTCGTATTATTTTGTCATCCATCTGTATATATATATATATATATATATATATATAAATTCATAATATTTATGAAAATATAATATTTTCAAATAAGGAGTTAATATAAGGTAAAGATCTTTGAACCAATTTTTTTAAAAATTTACATTAAAATTGTGTGTCATAACACCAAGTGTTACACATTTTAATCTTAATTTCCTGTTCTTTCAGCTTTCAGGTGTCATATCTGTGAAAAAGTCTTCAAATATGCATGTAACCTTAAAGCTCATTGTTTAACTCACATTCTGGAAAAGGATATTTTTCGATGTCCCGTCTCCAAATGTATTAGAGCTTACCAATCGCAACGAAGCTTATCCGCTCACTTGAAAACTTTTCATGAAACATTTACAATTTCATGCCCAGAAGGAAATTGCCCCAGATTTGTCAAAACACAGGTTTAACTTTTATTTTTATTAAACTCTTGAATCTTAATTTCGAAATGTGAGGTCTTATCTCAGTGAATCTCAACCATTGTTCGCGGCACATTTGTGTGTCGCCAAATTTTAGAAATGATATCGTGAAAACTATAATGCTTTTTTTTAATTACAAGTAAAGTGTTAATTAAAGAAAAGTTTATATGCTTAATATTATATATATGAAAGGTCAATATATAATATTATATATTGACCTCTGACAATCTTAAAAAAAAAATAGCAAATTTAATGACTGTTATAAATATTAAGTAACAAAAGAAAGCAAGCTAAATATTAACTTACAAAAGCAAATAAAAGCTAACAATTAAAATAAGCTATGCAATTAATAGTTATAAAAACAAATTAACAAAGGATAANAATAAAAAAAAAAAAAAAAAAAAAAAAAAAAAAAAAAAAAAAAAAAAAAAAAAAGCAAGTTAACAAGGAATAACAAAAAACTAACAATTGATGTAAAAAAAAACTAACAATTAATAGCTATGAAAAACAAGCTAACTGTTAATAACTAATAAAAAACTAAAGAACTATTATTGTGAGGGAAAGAAAGCAAAATAAGAATTGTACAAGCTAATTAATTAATCCCTTAGTAGACATACTATTTATGTAGTACATATTATTTTACATTCAAAATTTTTATCATAAACTATAACCATAAACTATATTTTAGTGTGACGTAGCAAAGAAAAAAAGGTTGAGAATCACTGGTTTATCTGTGAAATGAAAAGTTGAGGACTGGTGTGCAGAGATGGTGTGTTAACCTATATCTTCTGCTCTTAGGGTAGCTTTGTGCTCTCATGGTAGATGAATCCCTGGGTGTTGCTAATAGCCAGGGATTTATTCCCAGCATAATAGGGATTCATCTCTATTACCATTTAAGGCCTGCTAACTCTCAGGCGTTTATATCTTAGGATGTCAGGCCACCAATCTCTTTCTCCCAAAATAGTTTTGTAGTTAAAAAAAAAATTGCAATGCCTGTGAAATCACAAGCAAAAAAAGTACACTGCTTTTAACAAATCATATATAGATGTTTTCTGTTTTAAGCAAGATGCTTTAATGCATGCTGAAGTAGCTAATTTGATTAATAGTTTGATTGTTTCTTTTTCAAACCCAAGTTTTGCAGGGTTCCCACGGTACTTGAAAAACCTTGAAAGTCCTTGATTTTTGTTGAAAGAAATTAGGGTCCTGAATTCTGCTATAGGGTAGGGTACTTGAAAAGCACTTGATTTTTTAGGAATTAAAATAATATTAAACTTTCTTTCAAAACAGCAGTAAAAAAATAATAAATAAATCCAAAGGAAAATTATAGAAATTCTGATAGATGCAATTTTTAATGCTTGAAGTGGAAAGGGTTAAAAAAGATGCAAAACTTTTCTCCAAGGTGCGTAGCCAAATTTTTCAACAAAAAATAAGCACCTTTTAAGCTTTTTTCAAGCACTCAAAAATATTTTTAAGAACTTATAAAAATATATAATTAAGCAGGGTTGGCAATTTTTTGACAATTGACGGTTTTATCCGGATTTAACCGTCATGTCAAAAAAAAGTTTTTTTGGCATATTTTTAGACTATTGTCAAAAATAATGACATTTTGAATCATAAAACGGATTGGGGTTGAATTAAATGCGAAAAGGTCGAATAGAACAATATGAACAGTGTCTTTTTGCAAAATACGTGGCAAAAATCAACAGGATAAAGGAAAAATTAAGCACTTTATAAAAACACCCAATGAAAAAAGCACCTTTAAGGGCTTTTAAAAAACGAAAATTCGAAAATAAGCACCTTTAAGCACTTTCTAAAAATGCTACGCACCCTGTTCTCTCCTATATTTTTCACACCAGATTATTGTTCACCTCTCTGATGTTTTGAAAGCTGAAATTTCTAGCAAATTTTTGGTTTTGTAGTCATAGTTTTCGAATGATATATTGTGTTTAACTGATTTAGAAATATGTTCAATGTGTTAACTTTACTATTACGACAGGTTAATATTGTTATCTTATTTGTTCTTTTAATTTATGTACGAAGGATGATTAATTTTTTATAATTCATAGTTAAATTTTTAAATTTAGTTTTTACTGCTAATAAATAAAATTTATTTCTACAGGTTTCATTGATTATGAATAAATTTTGTGATTCATATTAAACTGATACTTAGTTTACGGATATAAAAAGTTATATAAAATGTTCCACAAATTGCGATTTTAAATGAAAGTAATTAATGAATCACATATCACAGGATGCGTAGCATATTTAAAAAGTGCTTAAAGGTGCTTATTTCCGATTTTCGTTTTTTAAAAGCCCTTAAAGGTGCTTTTTTCATTGGGTGTTTTTAAAAAGTGCTTCCTTTTCCCTTTTTCAAAATGATTTTTCCTTTTACCATGTTGATTTTTGCTACGAATTATGCAAAAATGACACAGTTCACATTGTTCTATTTAACATTTTCACAATTAATTCAACCCCAATCTATTTGGAGTATCGTCGGTCAGTAGCGTATGAAAACGCCATTCAATTTACATGATTCAAAACTTTTGGCAATTGTCAAAAACATGACATGACGATTAAAACCAGATAAAACAGTCAGTTGTCAAAAACTTTCCAACCCTGCCTAATTATGATATTTTTTTAAAATGCTTTAAAATATTATTTGAGTGCTTATTTTTTGTTGAATAATTTGGCTACACACCCTGGTAGTGTTTTTAAAAAGTGCTTATTTCCGATTTTCGTTTTTCAAAAGCCCTTAAAGGTGTTTTTTTTCATTGGGTGTCTTAAAAAGTGCTTCATTTTCCCTTTTTCAAAATGAGATTATTCCTTGATCATGTTGATTTTCTCCACAAATTATGCAAAAAGACACTGCTCTATTCAAAATTTATATGATTAATACAACCTCTATCTATGTCAGCGTACCATCGGTCCGTAACGTATGAAAACGCCATTCGTTTTACATGATTCAAAATTTTATGATTTTTGACAACTGTCAAAAACTATGCGAAAAGTTTTTTTTCTCTTTTTTTTTCGACAGGACGGTTAGAATTGTCAATAGTCAAAAACTTGCCTAATTATATCTCTTTCTAAAGTGCTTAAAAATATTTTTGAGTGCTTGAAAAGTGCTTATTTTTTGTTGAAAAATTTGGCTACGCACCCTGTTTCAAATATTACTTTAAAGTGATTTGCAAATTACTCATCAGAATTCATATTAAGGTATTTTATATATCACACATCATGATACACATTAAAGTGATTTATCAATCACACATCAAGATTTCATTTAAAGTTATTTCTGAATCATATAACGTGATATGTATTTAAGTAATTTTAGAATCATGCCTCACAATTCTCATTCTAGTAGTTTACAAATCTCGCATTGCGATTCGCAAAAGAAAGATTTAAGAATTACCACTCACAATACTCATCAAAATGATTTAAGAATCATACATAGCTGTTCTAATTTAAGCACCTTTCGAATTGCAATTTGCATCATAATGATCACTATTCACATGAAAACTATTAGCTAATCACGCAATAGAATTCACATTAAAGTGATTTATGTATTACACTTTGTGATTTACTTCTTGTTAGTTCGTGCATATTGTATGATTTGCTATTCAGATTATATTGTTCAGATTTAAGAAACACACTGCAATTCAGTTTCAATTTACAAATCACACATTGTGATATGTGATTTACGCAATCTTCGAGACTTATTTCACCTTTCTTATGATTTTGATTAACATATACTATATCTAGATTCGTAAAAATGCAATTTAAAAATTATGCTTAGTAAAAATAATGCATATTCACAAAATTTTAATCATCACACTTCACATTTTATAGATATATTTTAAAGAAAATAAAGCTTAGTAAGTCTTAGTTAGTTATCTGCAAAATATTGTTCTACAATAGATTTTATTATGTTCAAAATACAATCTGATATTCTGACAAAATAGATACTTTATTAAAATTGAAACGGATATGTTAAATGGATTTTATCTAATTATATACATTTCCTGTAACCTAAAATTTGATCTAACATATTACAAAAAAGTATTTATATTTTAATAATCGTGCAATTACACAAACTTTATCAATTATTTACTATGCTTGTTTAATGTAATATGCATTATCCATTCTACAGTTTCATTAATTGTAATTCACTTTATAAAATTTTTCATGAAAAGTTTCACTGAGGCTAGTTTTTAAATGTTGGCTAGTAACCTATGTCAATCAGAGTTTATATATATATTTTTTTGGGTCAATTGGAATTTTTTCAAATTGATTTGAAACAGCAATGTAACTATCAACCATTTGTTTTATTAGCTGATAAATTTAATAAATATTTTTTTGTTTTTGTCAAATAAGCATTGTGCTTTAAAAATAAAATTTTTTGCTTCTACGTAATTTTTAAATCTGGTTGACATGTACTTTAGGATATAACTGTAATACTGAATGATTGAACCTTGAAAAATTTGATTTTAGGTCCTTGAATTATTAAAAAAAAAATTGAGTGGGAACCCTGTTTTGTGTTATTAGTTTTTTTTTCTTTCTTTTTTCTGTGTGTCAGAGGTTTTGGGAAGAACTTTTTTAGAAACTCAGTTTTGCGCTTGACAATATGGAGACATTTCAAAATTTTTAATAAGTTATTACTGACGAGAGAGAAGTATGAAGAACCAAAAGCCTTATAAACAATACATTTAACTGTTTGCAAAGACAATTATAAAAATTGCCGTCTTAGAAATGAGCTTACAGATATTTGTTAAAAACTATTTAATTAATTCCAATTTCAGCTACAAAAAAAAAATTCAGAATTTTATAAGAGAAGAATTTTTTTAATTTCAATTGTCTGAGAGTAGTCCAATATACATGGGTGCAGCAGGATCCCAAAAGACGGGGATTGCATTTCCTGGCTTTGAATCCCAAACTGAGCAAATTTTAGAGTTTGTGCTGTGATATGATTTATTTTATCTTTATATTTTAGTTATTTTTAAGTAAATTGTGTAACTTTTTTCCCTCTTACTTTCAGAAGGAACTGGAAATACATATACAACATCGGCATCGACGAAGACTGGTTAGTATCAATTCCCAATATATATTTAAATTTTAGTCTAACTGAATGTTTTATGCTATACTCTAATCTAAATTGTACATAACTATTTTATGAAAAACGTTAAACATTCTTTTCTTTAGTAAAATTACTTAATACTTACTTAAAACTACATAGTAAAATTGTAATTACTGAAACAAAAGAACTGTATTAAGTTTTATATACATTTTTTTAAGGAATGCAACTCTTGACTTTCGTGTCTAGTGTGGGAAAATGATAAGCCAGGTTAAAAGTAAACGAAAATTCAGTTAGGACCAGGGCTCGAAAAACCTCAGAAATTTTACCCGTCCCCGAGGACGGCTTGTCCAACAATGTACCCGTCCTCCTTTGGAACTAACCCGCAGCTTCTAAATAAATAAAAATATAATTTTCTCTTATTTATTACAAACATTTATATAAATTGCACAATGAATTAGTAGTTGCTAGGATTACATTATACAGTAATAAAAGAAATACTAGATTACTAATAGTAACCTAGTATTTCTTTTATGAAATAATTTAAATGACAAAGGTCAAGGCGGGAAAGTGGCTGTCCACGCGGGCGTCGGATTCGAGAAATTCGTTGTCCGCAGGGAATTTTTGACCGCCGCGGACGGGCTGTTTTTCGAGCCCTGGTTAGGACTGAGTTCTATTTCTTACCTCATCTCTTATATAATTGAAAACATATATTATATATTTTAAAATAAATACTGTGTGCAAAAAAAAAAAAAATATTGACTTATTAACTTATTGTCCAATTTATACTATTAATTCATACTCTCCCTATATCTTGTTCAAATTTTCAATCGTTCATAAAATACTTTTTTATTCATCCAAAGTTCAATCACATTTTTTAAAATATATAGTGTACGACACTTGGTGTTAATAAAATTTTTTCAAATATTAATTCATTCATTGAACTTAATTAATTAATTTTAGTTTAATATGAGGGAAAAAATTGTAATTATTTAATAAAAAGTACCTAAATTAAAAATTTTCTTTGTTGATCTAAGTAGTAATTGACTTTAAAAACATTTTTTTCTTATATTATTTGTTTCTTAATAATCTAACCAAAAGTGCTATCACAGCTAAATATCAGGACAAAATATTTTTAATCAGAACTACGTAATCTTGACTATGAAATCCTAATAATTATGGATAAATTGTAATAGTTAGCATCTCTGGAAATTTAAATTCCAATAAGACAGCAAGGAAAATTATTCTTAAAAAAAAGAGAGAGTACTTTGCATATACTTTCTCCAAATAGTATATTATCAATAGCTAGTTGGGACCCCTAGCTATTAATCAATAACTGAGCTTCCCTCATTTATTAAATAACTTAATTTAGGGATTTTTCATTCAATTTTCCTCTAGCATTATATATTGTATGCCGATACACTATTTCATAGTTGCCAGCTCTATTGGTTTCTCCAGTAGACTACTGGATTTTGCCAGTTTCTACTGGTTTCTTAAAAATTCTCCTGGTATTCGTATATTTTAGAAAATTCCCTATAATAGTTGATTAAGTTTCTTTAAAAATTTCTATTGAAATCAAATTTTTGTGCAGATTATTGCTTGCTTGAATATTTGAATAAGTGTTACTAAAATACATAATGAATCGAGCCTCAATTATCAAAATCGGTAAAAAACTTTTTTTGTTCTAAGATGTTTATTTTTGTTCAGAACTCGCTTTTTAAATTAATTAAACGATCTGTTAACTAGCTTTGATGAATTAACCTCTTAACTGCCGCTGGCGTATATACAGTCAAACCCCGCTATAGTGAACCTTCAAGAGACCGAAATTTTGGTTCACTATATCCGTTACAAAAACAAGAAAAAATACTTATCGCTACATTCCCCTCTATAAATGGTTCTGAAAATCGGTTTATGTATTTATTTTGAAGTAAAAATATCAAAATTATTACAAAAAAAGGAGAAAAAAAATCAGTCGAAAACAGAAAAAAGTTCATTATACCCAACTTTCTCACTTTTTTGGTTCACTATATCCTCAAAAAATAACATTATACGTGTATAACGAGGCACGGTACTGAACACTTTGTTCACTATATCCGGGAGTTCACTATAAACCATGTTCACTATAGCGGGGTTAGACTGTATATATATATTAATAAACATATAAGGATATATTTTATTATTAGTATTACTATATATTATTAGACAGACTATATAGAATTAAGTAGATTATTTTATATTTCTTTAGATTATATATGTTACCGTGAAGGATCGAAATCAAGAGAATGTCTACTTTCATCGATGAATGTTAGCAATCACATAGTCATTTTGATGAATGTCTGAAATGTTTCCTATATCCGATTTGATAACTGTTGATATCGTTGATAACACTGAATGTTGATTTCTACATTCAATGTCCGTAACGTTGTTCATGCCAGAAATATTTGTTATATCCGATTTGATATTGATTTATTCGTTGATATTATTACATTTATTCGATATTTCAATATCTGCAAAGGATAAATTAGGAGAAACATCAGTATTCGGAGTACCGGTTAAATGCACACCTTACAGTGGCACTTGACTGTAAGAAACCTCAGGGTTGGGTATACCGGGCAAATGTACACCCGGCAGTGGCACTTAAGTATACCTAGTATATATTTCGGACATTTACCTAAGCGACTATGGGATTGTCAACAGTTACCGGTGTAAATCAACAACCAATTTCGGTCATTCACAGTATATATTATACTATATCAAAAATTAGAAATATTGCAATAATACACATATATATTATTGTAATACTTCTAATTTCTGATATCTAGTTTGGAAAGTTGGCACTCTTTTATCTAGAGATTTTAAATTTTCATTCCTTGATTTAGCAATATTTATTTGTTTTTATTTTGTTCTATTTCTCATAAATTTGTTCCAATTTAAAGAAAAATGTATAAATACAATTTCGGTATTGTGGTTTAAATACTATGGCACTTGATACCATGGATTTCTTAAAGTGTTTTCTTGAGGTCAAATGCAAATCAGGAATTTTAAATCTATTACTATTGATGTATGCTGACCATGTTTATAATTTATATTAGTTATCTGAAATACGATTGTAATATTTCTTTGTTTTCTTAAATAGAAAGCTTCTAGAAAATTTGATTGTTGGCTTATCATGCGGATGTTTTGCATCATTAGTCATAGACAAATAAAATCGGATTAGACTGTTACCCTAATCGTAAAAACCCACCCCTGCTCTTGAAACTCCCTNCCAAGAAGCTATTAATTTGGAAAAGCAGTTGTCAACTGTTTCTGAAGCTTTAAATAAGCTTCAAACAGAAAATACCTCAATTTCAGAAGCTGTTGAAATATGGATAAACTTAATATCGAGTGACGAATTAGAACCCCATAAACAACATTTTGTAAAAAGATTTCATCAGGCTGTTCAGCCACCTCATTTATTAGCTTATATTATGGATCCCAAAACAAGAGGACAACTTTTAAATCATGATCAAGAACAATTAGCAGAAGACTGGCTTTCTAAGCATCACCCAGAATTTCTACCAGGTGTTATGGCCTTCAAAATTTCTGATCCCGAGTACTTTCCAAAATCAATGATGCATGACACTGTTATTCAACAGTTTTCGTCTCAAAAATGGCGGAAAATTATGGCAAAAAAAAAGTTTAAAAAATCCCAAGCTTCCACAAAATTTCTGCAAATTCTTTTTTTCTTTACACTCAGCACCAGCATCCTCTGCCTCCATCGAAAGACATTTTTCAACCTTCGGTTTGGTGTGGAGCAAACTACGAAATAGATTAGGAGTAGATAAAGCTACAAAACTAGTAAAAGTGTATCGCCATCTAAGGGAGAAATGCGGACACTTTGAATCTGGTGTATAATATTAATAAATAATTAAAATTTAACCTTTTTTTTTAAATTAACTCTTAGCTTCTGCTGAAAATTTTTAACTATTTGGAGAAAGTTTCTCATCATCAAAAAAAAAAAAAATGGCTAACCTTCTTAAATATTATTTTTACGATTTCACTTTAATATAATTTATTCTGTTCCTTTTAATATCATATCTTTAAAAAAATTGTAAAGAAACAAAAATGAAATTCATTTACTAAGTGATACATTAACTGATTTAAACAGTTTTATTTTCTGCTTTAAAAAAAACTTATTGTATATGCTTTTTTTATAATTTTATATGTATTTATATGTTTTTTGAAATTAAAAGTATAAAGTTAAAATTATTTATCTAAAAATGAAGCCTTTTTCCTAAGGTTCAATATTAAAAAAAAAAAATAGGACAAACTACTAATACTCTTTATAATTATGTCATTGTAATTTCTCTTTTTATTAATCTTATTGCAAATAGATGGAAGACCATCAAATATTTATTTCTGTTTTTTAAAAGTATGATGAAATTTTAGTTTTTACTGATTATAAATATTTATTGATTATAAATTAATAATAGGTAATATTTTTTATATGCTTATTAAATACAGTAAATAAATGTGTGCAAAAACAAAAAGATTAACAAACTTGTACCTTTTATATTACTGTTGCATTTATATTTTATAATGCTTGAGATAAAAATTGTGAAACATTTTGAGGTAAAAATTGTCTTTAACAATAAAGAAGATTCAAATATGTATTAGTGACAATGCGTTCTTTAAGCTTATTTTAATTTTGTTATATCTATTTAAAATTAACTTTCTGGATTTATTTATATTTTTAAGCTTATACAATACTATTTAATAATTAAAAATATTTACGCAGTAAAACTTTTTAAGTTCAGGTTTACTAAATGAAAAAACCCAATTTTCCCCAGGTTTTTTCAAATCCTGATTACAATGTTAACCCATTGATACACAAACGTAAACAAGTGTAATCCAGTTTCAGCGGCGTAAAAACAACACAGCTGTATAGTATCACCTGATAGTTGAGATTTTACAAAGAATCTTATAGTGCGTCTAATAATTTGGTCAGGGACTGTATATTTCCTGTGGTAAGTATCAACACGATGGTAAAATGTTAACAAAGTAATAAACTTTCATTCTCTTTTAGAAAAAAAAGGAGACACCTAAAAAACCAGGATTTGCTGAAATATTATCAGGGTTTGCTAAAGGTACAAAAAAGGATTTGAACCCGCATCTTTCAAAGGCAGTTTTGGAAGAGGAGGTCAGAGAATCAGATGATGAAGCTACAGAACCCAAAAGAGTAAATCGTAACGACACGCAAGAACAAGGTGATGAACATCAATTAGAGGCTTCCAACACACATCTTTTAAACATCTCTTCAGAAGAAGAATCAGAGGATTTATCTGGTGATGAAAAGCTGTATATAGTGAATGGGGAATGCTCTAATCTGAACTTGAATGGACATCTTTCAAATGCAAAGAAAGACAAAGATAGCAATTTTAAAGAGAGTTTCAGTTTATCTGGCATCACACAAAATGACGACACAGATACTCGAGGTTCAAATCTATTTACAAATACAGTTTTGGAAGAGAAAGTTGAAGAATTAAATGATGAACTTGTAGAAATTGAAGTGGTCTATCATAGCTCACAAAGTGACTTGGATCATCAGCGCCCAAATGGGAAAAATTGTAGAGCAGATCAAATGGGAATGTTTTCAGATACGCCAATGACTGGCAAAGTTACATGAATGACACATTTTTATAATGCATTAAATAATTTTAAAAATCAATGATTTGCATACTTTAATTTGCATCAGTACATGGGGGTTTAAGTTCATTACATACCTGCCAACATTGGAGAAATAAAGTAACAGATTTTACTTGGGCTATTCTAGCCAAGAGTGAAGTTTTGATACATTTAGCAAAGTAAAAATATATATATATAAATCTTAATCTAATGATTAATTTAAACCATTCTTTATAAATACTGAATATACTGCAGTTCTGGCAATAGTACCATCTGTTGAAAAAAAAAGTATTTTTGCCATTAGCAAATATTTTATCTCCCATTTCTTCAACAAATATGGGTAAACAGGAGACTTGGCAGGTATGTTTGAGGAATTTTGGTAAGAATATTTAAATACTTCTCTAGGCGCTTGAAAATCAAACACTTTTCAATCTTGAAAAACCAGTTAAAGTAGAGATGACAGCTATATAAGTTTTCTAAAAACCTATTATTGGTTGTAAAAGTTGTGTGTATTGCCATAAGGTATGAATCAAACTGCTAGTTATTAAAAAGTAGCACCATTACAACTACCAGAAGAAATTTGCCAGCTGTGTAAATTACATTTCTTAATTTTTAAAAGACACTCTAAATAATGTTAATGATATTTATTATACAAAACTACATAATATGATGAATGATAGATTCTTAATCTTTTCTCTGCTGATACAGAACACAATTTATTTCAAAATGAATAATGCACATTTCTTTCCTTCAGATAAGATCAGCAACTGTAAAACAATAAATATAATAGTAAATAAAAATTAAGACAGACAATGTAGGATACTTAATTTAAGAAGCAGCATTATAAAATGGTAAAAAATATTTTTTTTTAAAATGCTTTTTATGAATTTATTGCTTGTGCCAAAACGATGGTTTGGTTAGATAGCACACAAGAAAAAAAAAGTTAAAATTAGAGTTCATAAATAAATGAATCATATAAATTAAAAATCGTAAAATCCATGCAGTAACTCCAAAATAAGGATTGACGCCGAAATGACATGAATAGGACTCGTTAAAAAAGAGATACTCAAATGACTGAGAGCAAAACATGGAGTTCATTAAAGAAAAATGAAAGAACATTTCTAGAGGGAACTATCGTGATTTCTGAATTTTGTATTTTCTATTACTAATTTGAAATTCTAGCTTAAGCCAGCCATTGCGGACCTTTTCTTAATCCCAAATGAGAAAAATCACTATAATTTCTTTTCTCTCTGATGAACAAGAAAGACATCCTTGAAAAAAATTCTGCAGAAAGGAAAACCAAAATTTTCCCCTTCCCAAAATGATAAATCTTTCTGCGAAAACTCTGTAATGTACTGCGTCAATGTCGCCACAGGACCTTCACATATTATACACAGGAATGAAAGTAGTCAGAAAGTAAAAAAGAGAAAAATCCAAGAATATATATATATATGAAAATCGATGTTAAGGCTTGGTTTCTTAGGACAGGACGCCGTCAGCNAGATTGATGTTAGATATGACAGCCGCAAAAATGAATAATGACATTGGATTTTAAGAATCCAATATAATGAATCCGCGAAAACAAATCCCTGCTATTTAGGCCCTAAATAGTAGCGATTTGTTTTCATGTAACCTTAAATTTTAGGGTTTTAAAAGCCTGCAAATTTTAAATCAAGTAAAAACAAAAATTGATGTTTGATGATAAAATCGCGATTTGTATTAATGCGATTTTAGAAATGCATAAATAAAAATCGTGATATTGGATTTTTAAACCTTGCAAATGAGAATCGTAATGTACAATATTTAAATCACATGAATAAGAATCGCAATGTGTAACTTTTAAATCAGGTAAATAAGAATCGAGGTATTAGTAGATTCTGGGCTTGGGATTCCTAAAAGGTTTGCTTGTATCGTTTTTGTTTAACCATAATAAACAATAATTTACAAGATTAGTGAATGAGCAAATAAATATTTTTACGGCTAATTTTTTTAAAAATCCTTATTTTGTTTGCTTGCACGCCAGAAAACAGGAAGCAGCGACGTCTGATTTACGAAAATACGCAGGTAAAAATCTTATTTTCGGCGTGTAAAAGCACGCTAAAATAAGTTGAAATGGGGGGGGGGGGGTTATCAGCTAGGACATAATTTGAATTTTCTGTTTATCTTTGAAAATCGGAAATAAATATAATTATTATATTTCAACTACTGAATTTTCAGAAAAGCAAAACATTTGAAGNTCGACGTCACGCCGACGCCCAGATAAGGCGCTTGTCCTAAGAAACCAGACCTTTAGATATGACAGCCGCAAAAATGAATAATGACATTGGATTTTAAGAATCCAATATAATGAATCCGCGAAAACAAATCGCTGCTATTTAGGCCCTAAATAGTAGCGATTTGTTTTCACGTAACCTTAAATTTTAGGGTTTTAAAAGCGTGCAAATTTTAAATCGAGTAAAAACGAAAATTGATGTTTGATGATAAAATCGCGATTTTATCACCACATGGTTCGCGATTTGTATTAATGCGATTTTAGAAATGCATAAATAAAAATCGCGATATTGGATTTTAAAACCTTGCAAATGAGAATCGTAATGTACAATATTTAAATCACATGAATAAGAATTGCAATGCGTAACTTTTAAATCAGGTAAATAAAAATTGAGGTATTAGTAGATTCTGGGCTTGGGATTCCTAAAAGGCTTGCTTGTATCATTTTTGTTTAACCATAATAAACAATAATTTACAAGATTAGTGAATGAGCAAATAAATATTTTTACGGCTAATTGTTTAAAAATCCTTATTTTGTTTGCTTGCACGCCAGAAAACAGGAAGCAGCGACATCTGATTTACGAAAATACGCAGGTAAAAATCTTATTTTCGGCATGTAAAAGCACGCTAAAATAAGTTGAAATGGGGGGGGGGGGTTATCAGCCAGGACATAATTTGAATTTTCTGTTTATCTTTGAAAATCGGAAATAAATATAATTATTATATTTCAACTACTGAATTTTCAGAGAAAGCAAAACTTTTAGAAAATTGGAGTGTTTGATAAAAAGGCTGAAATTCGAGAGACAAAAGCAGAAATCACCAACTAGAAAAAGCTAGTTCTAGTTGCTGAAAAAACTTAGTGAAATAAGGACATCATAAAATAAATATTGCTATAATAAATGAAATAACATAATATAGACAAACTACCATCTTTAAATACCCCACAGATTATGTTTTGAGAGGTCTGCATTCTTTAAAAGACAAAAATATAAAATAAAAGTCCCTGTTTTTTGTAAAGAAAAATGCAAAATTCCTTGTATTTTCCAGGTTTTACCTGTGGAGTGGCAATCCTCACATTTAACAAAAATTAACTCTAAATCTTGTCATAGAAATAATTCTAAAAGAAAAGCTTATTTTTGTTTCAATCTCTCAAAGTTTTGTAATATATAAATATACAAAAATCATACATTTTATAATTGATAAATATAATCTAAAAGCATGAATTAGGGAATTTCAATGAACATTGAAATTTTAATTTTAGACCAGAAGAAAGTTTTTAACTGCTTAAAGTACTAAATGCTTGAAATTAAATTTTATTAGTAAAGAAAAAAGTCTAATATTTATTTTAATATGCAATAACAAGAGATACACTTTTTTTAGTACATCTCCTGTGTCTTGTCTACAACCCTAATTCCTGTTTAAACATTAAAAAAAGAAAACAAATCTAATAATGCACAACACATTTCTGTAAACAAAAAAAGACTAAAAATTTATCAATTATAAAAATATTAGCTTCTTTTAAACTTCTTTTAATTTGAAAAAAAGAAAAGAATTTAATTTTTATAATGAACACTAAGTTAATAATATCAACTCACCATTCATTGGCATTTCGTCAATCTGGGTTGAATAATATTGTTCAATATCTCTTAATATCCTAATGTCATCATTTTTGACAAAGTTTATGGCAACACCTTTACGTCCAAAACGACCAGATCGACCTATCCTGTTAAAATATTAACCCATTATAAGAATACTGCTGACAACAATTACATTAAATATACAAATAAAAAGCAGTAACAAAATCAATAATTAATTGTTAATACTGGTTGAAGTTTTAGTAGTGCTTGCTTTACTTTTATGAAGTCCTTAGAAGTTTTCAGGTATAGAATTTCGATAGGGTGGCAGAAAGACTCTTTATTTTAATCAATGGTTTAATTATTTTAATCATCAATATAACTATAAAAAAAGACTTTTTTGGATGACCAAATATTTTTTTTAAATAACGGCAGGCACAGAACTTGTCTGTGTACCTGTGAAACAAAGTCACGGAAGCAAGCAACATCACCCACACCATAGGTACCCGTTCATAGGGTGGACCACATTTACACAATAGAGTACAACACACAGAAACATCCATACCCTGAGTGGGATTCGAACCTGCAGCCATTGGCTTCGAAGTCGAGCAAGCCAACAACGGACAACTTAATATAGAAGCAATTAATTTTTAAATACAGTCGAACCCCGCTATAGTGAACCGTCTGCGGACTCAGTAATGTGTCCACTATAACCGATGCTTCACTATATCCAAATTTTTTGAAGAATATTTTTTGCATAAGACAGTTGAATGATTGAAAATTGGCTTTGCAATTTTGCATAAGTTATTTAAAAAATTATTAACTAATTAACAGATAATAAAGCAAAAATTGATGGAAAAAGTAATTACGCTGCTAAATATTAGTTTTACTTTCACTTTTTATGAAAAAAATTTGTGATTTTTGATTGAACACAATTAGATCTTAAATTGAGTTCATAAATTTTCATATCTACAATGTGCAAAGAATGCAAGATTTTTACATTTTGAACAAGATTTCGAGCCATCTTGACAAAGCATCTTCTACGTTTTCTCGATAAAACCATGTTTTTGCCGTATGCCGCAAGAATTGCACTTCGATTTTTCCAAATGTATGAAACTGTAGATTTTGACAAGGAAAATTCCTTACACAGTGTCGATTGATTGGTTCCATCATCAATACGCTTTACAATTTTAACTTTGTCCTCTATCGAAAACGCTTTTCTCTTTAGAGAATTTGCCATTTTCACTGCTTTTGAAATAAAAATCTTGTCTCAAATAGATAATGTAAGAATATGAAGAGAGCAGCTGTAGAATGAGTTAAATTGTTCCCCTT